AAGCTTCTTCTTGTATTGCGTCAGCTTTTTAATTAATAAATAAAACATTGCATTAAATTTAGAGGGGGTGGTCAAATGCTTATATTGATTTGCTTTGTCAATTAATATTTACATTAATCAATTGAAAAATGATTCACAGATTCTCGCGATACTTAACTAATTTAATTATTAAAATATCATATAAATGTAATAAGTTTAATTGGTTCTTTTATATTATATATATAACATTATATTTTTTATTTTTTATTTTTAAATTAAAAATAATAAATTTTTAATAATTATGTTGTAGAGTGTATAAAAATAAAAGATATTTATATCAGTGTCTTAATTAATTTTTAATTTTTTAAAAATTAATAAGTTAACTAATAATTTAAATGATTTAATAATAATTTGTTTTATAAAATAAAAAAATTTTAAATTTAAATGGTAAACATATATACAGGTGCAAATAGATGAAGGAATGGGAAAGTTGCTTTCCCATCATACAATTTAAGGGGAAAAAAAGGTACGTAGTAAAGTTGAAAGTAACTTTCTAAAAAATTAAATGAACTTTTTAGAAACTTTTTCTTGAACCAATTTTAGTATAACACGTACAGGGTCCGATGCTGCATTCTCCCTAACTTCCGTGCGTCATGCCACTTGCTTTGTTTAGGAAAAAGCAAAAACCAATAAAAGTGTTGAAACCATTAAAACGTGTTGTAATGTTTACATTTCTTTAGCTGGCCCATGAAAACTAAATTCAAGCTCGAACTGTCGAGAATGAGATATTTCTTAATGACAACATTGTTCCATCATTGCAAAGTACACACCAAATTGAACCCAAAAAAATGTAAGTTAGATTCAGACTCCGATTTTTTTTTTTTTTAACAAGAGTAATGATTAGAAAGTTAGTATGAGTTAGTTATTAACAACTGATCTTCAAATTGGGTGAACATTCTACCCCTTCAAATGAGACGCGTGGTCATCAAGCCGCTTTTTGATAGAGTTCACAACGGTGATAGAACTTGAAACTCCGACCACCTCACCTAAACACTTAAGGTTTGGGGTCAAACCATTGGGTCTAAAAACCCGGTTTGACCCCAATTCTTTCCTAAACAAGTTGTTTGGATTCAGTATGAACAAGTTTTTGAAAATGATTCTTTCAGATGATATATCCAAGATTCACAACCACTTTAATGAAGTGACACAAAGGAATCCCACTAGTGGGATTGCAAATTGCAAACAAATATGATGACATCTCCTATTTCTGGTAGTGCCTGTTGGCATCACAACTCTATTGTAACGTACTCCAATCAGCAATCTAATTTCCTCAAAGGAAAATGTTTCATCTTCAATCTCATTTTATTATAAAATCTTAATTACAATTATATATGAAAATAATTATAATTAACCTTTTGTACTTAGTAAGAGGCGAACATTAGGAGGTGAAGATTAGTAAGTACTTTTATTTTTAGACTTTATGTTGATAGAAAAAAAAAAGAAAAAAAAAAAAGGAACTAGTATTGTAAGACTTCATTACTTCATCAATTAATCTCACAATAATTATTGTCTCTTTATGTATAATTTTTTTTTAAATTTTATTGTCATTTCAAATTTTAAGATATATTATTAGTTTTTCCTTTTTTTTCATCTTACGCCTGTAGTTATAGAAGAAAAAGAAAATTGAATAAGGAAATGGAAATTTGGATATTTTAATACTAAAAATG